TCCACTAGGGCTTGGACAAGTGTTTCAAACAACATCCAAAGATAAGGAGACAATCAAGGCTCTATGAGGCATACTATGCTGCCTTAGAAGTGGAAAGAGAGCATGATACTTCTTGTGGTTGGAATGGTTCAATTGAGGATCAGGGGTTGGTGTTTGGAGCTGAAGATGGAGATCAACGGACTTGTATCTTCCGTACTAAGTGTTCGGTTGGGTGGTCCAATGAAGTTGATTTGGTAATCGACGGTGGGTCGAGTACTGATTGTATAAGTGAGGAATTTTGCATAGCAAACGGAATTCAGATGGATCCGCATACTAGACCATACAAGCTTCAATGGTTGAGTGAAGAGATGGTTGTGGATGTTACTAAAAAGGCCATGGTTCCTTTTCAGATTGGTGAGTATAGGGATGAAATTTACTTTGATGTAATTCCTATGTCTCTTTGTGATATTTTGCTAGGTAGGCCTTGGCAGTCGGATGTAGATGCTGTGCACCATTGCTCTAAGAATATCTTTGTCTTTATTAAAGAGGACAGAAAATATGTTCTTAAGCCTTTGGCTTATGAAGAATCTGAATCTGTGCGAGAGAAAAGATGTAAGATAACCTATACACAAGGGAGAGAAAAAGTCGAGCGAGTGACGCAAGAAAGTAAAAAGGGTAACGATGAGGTAAGACTTGAGGCGAGAGAAAACCATGAAAATAGCGTGGAAAAAGAAATAAATGCACGCAATGAGAGAAAATCAGAGTGTGGTGAGGGTGAGGATTTTACTAACCCTTATATCTCGTTTGTTCCTTGTGCAGGTATAGAGGTTGATGATTCGAGGACGAATCCTCTTAAAGAAGGAGGGATGATGAGAATCATGTAGCCTTCCATGAAGGTTCTCCTAGTGAGGGAATGAGTTAGTCCTTCATTCTAGATTTGGAATGCCAAGTTTACTTTGCAGGCCAATCAAGGAAGAAAGGATGGATCTTGACTACCTATGTGATAGGAGTTGGTTCAAGAGAGCTATGATCAAGGTGATGAGAATGTCATTAACTTTGGGGTGCAAACCAAAGGAGATGAAGACCTCATGGAAATAAGTGCTGAAGAGTATCAAGAGAGTTTGACTCTGTGTGCTCCATGAAGATCATTGATCAAAGCTAGTGAGAAGAGTCATTTAGGTTCATGAGTGGACGGCCTATTTGATCCAAGTGTTCAAGATTGAGTCCATTGCTACACAATTGGATAGGGTACAAACTATCTTAATTGTTTCAAGTGTTTTTCCATTCTTTTGGAGTCAATAAGGTGAATTCTACAAGTTTTGGAGTAAATTGGGGGTTTCTACAACTTAAGGGGCGCAAGACCAATATTCCACTTTTGGAAGGGCGTTCAAGACATTTTACTTCAATAATTTGGAACTGAATTTCGAGATTAGAGTTAGTCTAAGTCTAGGAGTCAATTTTTTCAAATTTTATCTAGTTAAATAAGTCATGTGGACTGAATTAAGCTAGAGTGTTTTGATTAGGAGTCTTAGATTCCTTCTAGATATTATCCTACTTGAGGATAAGTGATTTAGATAAGGTTTCCTAGATTTTAAATAGAGTCAAAGAGATCAAGTACTCTTCTACTTTTACTCCTTGTGAGATAAGATTAGAGAGTCCTAATTGGTCTTCTTTTTAGAGGTGCTGGCCGAAAAATTCAAGCCTATATAAAGGAGGCTTGGCCGAATTTTAGAAGCACCCTTGAGTGGTCATTTTTGTTGTCTCTTTTGAGAGTTTTTCCCGTGAGGAATTTTTGTTAAATGGAGTGTCCATTTTTCGTGTCAAGTATGTTTAAACCAAGAGGGTTTTCATCTTGTCTTGGATCTTGTTGATCTTGCGAAACCATTCTTTTCAAGTATGCTTCTTGATAGAATTGTTTTAAAACTAAACTTCTTATTTTCATACTACTTCTAGTAGTTCGATTGATGAGCCTTTCCTTTGGCTTGGTGTTCGAATTTCATGATGAGTGTGTTCATGAGATCCATTGTGGGGTTTATCCTACTTTTGTTGGGATGAGTTGTGCTTTGGCATAAGCATTTTGAGATAGTGTATGTGTTGCATATCTTTGGTTGGTTATGAAGATTACTAATTAATAGTATTCCTTCATAGTTGGGCATTGTTTGCTCCTACCTTTCTTGAGTCTCTTGATTATGACTGATCGAGTATATTGAATGGTGTCCTTGCTATTCTTAGCGTGGGTTGTTGTTTAATTCGAATCTTTCATGGATAATGTGTTCTTTGCTTGGTTTGAGTTAAGAGATAGAATCACTTAGATAAACGATCGTCTTACTGTGAATTTTCCGCACTCTTTTGAGTTTCACGGGATAGACAAAATTATCTTCGTACTTTCTTGTTGATGGTTGCATTAACGAAATTTGCTTCGTCTACGAGATTGCTATCAGAACTACTAGAAGTAGTATGAAAATAAGAAGTTTTATTTTAAAACAATTCTATCAAGAAACATACTTCAAAAAGAACTGTTTCTACAAGATCAAAAGATCCAAGACAAGATGAAAACCCTCTTGGTTAAATCATACTTGACACGAAAAATGGCCACTCCATTTAACAAAAATTCCTCACCGGAAACCCTCAAAAGAGACAACAAAAATGACCACTCAAGGGTGCTTTGAAATTTTGGCCATCCCACCTATTTATAGGCTAAGAAATTTGGCCAGCACCACGAAAACAATATCAATTAGGACTCTCTAATCTTATCTCACAAGGAGTAGAAGTAGAAGAGTATTTGATCTCTTTAACTCCATCTAAAATCTAGAAAACCTTATCTAAATGACTTATCCTCAAATATGATAATATCTAGAAGGAATCTAAGACTCCTAATCAAAACACTCTAGCTTTATTAAGCTCACATGACTTATCTAAGTAGATAAAATTTCAAAAATAACTCCTAGACTTAGACAAACTTAAAATCCGAAAATCAGCTCCAAATTATTGAAGTAAAATGTCTTGAACGCCCTTCCAAAAGTGGAATATTGGTCTTGCGCCCCTCAAGTTGTAGAAAACTCCAATTCACTCCAAAACTTGTAGAATTCTCTTTATTGACTCCAAAAGATTCGAAAACATTTGAAACAACTGAGATATTTTGCAACCTAACCAATTGTGTAGTAATGGACTCAATCTTGAACACTTTGATCAAATAGGCCGTCCATTCAATAACCTAAATGACTCTTCTCACTAGCTTGATCAATGATCTTCATGGAACACCTAGAGTCGAGCTCTCTTGATACTCTTGAGCACTTATTTCCATGAGGTCATCATCTCCTTTGGTTTGAACCCCAAAGTGAATGACATTCTCATCATCTTGATCATAGCTCTCTTGAACCAACTCCCTATCACATAGGTAGTCAAGATCCATCTTTTCTTCCTTGATTGGTCTGCAAAGTAAACTTGGCATTCAAAAACTAGAATGAAGGACTAGCTCATTCCCCTCACTAGGAGAATCACCATAAAAGGCTACATGATTCTCATCATCCCCTCCTTCTTTAAGAGGATTCGTCCTCGAATCATCAACCCCCCCTTTTTAATGAGGTCGGTACATAGTGACATGTTGTTAAAGATGAAAATAAAGATGCAATGAGACTCCCCTTTTTTTTCTTTTTTTTTTAAAATTATATACTGCCATGTGTATTTGGATGTGATGATCTATTTTTTTTATCTTATGATAACCTGATAGCAATCTCGTAGACGAAGCAAATTTCGTTAATGCAACCATCAACAAGAAGGTACGAAGATAATTTTGTCTATCCCGTGAAACTCAAAAGAGTGCGGAAAATTCACAGTAAGACGATCGTTTATCTAAGTGATTCTATCTCTTAACTCAAACCAAGCAAAGAACACATTAACTATGAAAGATTCGAATTAAACAACAACCCACGCTAAGAATAGCAAGGACACCATTCAATATACTCGATCAGTCATAATCAAGAGACTCAAGAAAGGTAGGAGCAAACAATGCCCAACTATGAAGGAATACTATTAATTAGTAATCTTCATAACCAACCAAAGATATGCAACACATACACTATCTCAAAATGCTTATGCCAAAGCACAACTCATCCCAACAAAAGTAGGATAAACCCCACAATGGATCTCATGAACACACTCATCATGAAATTCGAACACCAAGCCAAAGGAAAGGCTCATCAATCGAACTTCTAGAAGTAGTATGAAAATAAGAAGTTTAGTTTTAAAACAATTCTATCAAGAAGCATACTTGAAAAGAATGGTTTCGCAAGATCAACAAGATCCAAGACAAGATGAAAACCCTCTTGGTTTAAACATACTTGACACGAAAAATGGACACTCAATTTAACAAAAATTCCTCACAGGAAAAACTCTCAAAAGAGACAACAAAATGACCACTCAAGGGTGCTTCTAAAATTCGGCCAAGCCTCCTTTATATAGGCTTGAATTTTTCGGCCAGCACCTCTACAAAGAAGACCAATTAGGACTCTCTAATCTTATCTCACAAGGAGTAAAAGTAGAAGAGTACTTGATCTCTTTGACTCTATCTAAAATCTAGGAAACCTTATCTAAATCAGTTATCCTCAAGTAGGATAATATCTAGAAGGAATCTAAGACTCCTAATCAAAACACTCTAGCTTAATTCAGTCCACATGACTTATTTAACTAGATAAAATTCGAAAAAATTGACTCTTAGACTTAGACTAACTCTAATCTCGAAATTCAGCTCTAAATTATTGAAGTAAAATGTCTTGAACGCCCTTCCAAAAGTGGAATATTGGTCTTGCGCCCCTTAAGTTGTAGAAACCCCCAATTTACTCCAAAACTTGTAGAATTCACCTTATTGACTCCAAAAGAATGGAAAAACACTTGAAACAATTAAGATAGTTTGCACCCTATCCAATTGTGTAGCAATGGACTCAATCTTGAACACTTGGATCAAATAGGCCGTCCACTCATGAACCTAAATGACTCTTCTCACTAGCTTTGATCAATGATCTTCATGGAGCACACAGAGTCAAACTCTCTTGATACTCTTCAGCACTTATTTCCATGAGGTCTTCATCTCCTTTGGTTTGCACCCCAAAGTTAATGACATTCTCATCACCTTGATCATAGCTCTCTTGAACCAACTCCCTATCACATAGGTAGTCAAGATCCATCCTTTCTTCCTTGATTGGCCTGCAAAGTAAACTTGGCATTCCAAATCTAGAATGAAGGACTAACTCATTCCCCTCACTAGGAGAACCTTCATGGAAGGCTACATGATTCTCATCATCCCCTCCTTCTTTAAGAGGATTCGTCCTCGAATCATCAACCTCTATACCTGCACAAGGAACAAACGAGATATAAGGGTTAGTAAAATCCTCACCCTCACCACACTCTGATTTTCTCTCATTGCGTGCATTTATTTCTTTTTCCACGCTATTTTCATGGTTTTCTCTCGCCTCAAGTCTTACCTCATCGTGACCCTTTTTACTTTCTTGCGTCACTCGCTCGACTTTTTCTCTCCCTTGTGTATAGGTTATCTTACGTCTTTTCTCTCGCATGATTCAGAATCTTCACAAGCCAAAGGCTTAAGAACATATTTTCTGTCCTCTTTAGTAAAGACAAAGATATTCTTTGAGCAATGGTGCACAAACATCTACATCCGATCGCCAAGGCCTACCTAGCAAAATATCACAAAGAGACATAGGAATTACATCAAAGTAAATTTCATCCCTATACTCACCAATCTGAAAAGGAACCATGGCCTTTTAGTAACATCCACAACCATCTCTTCACTCAACCATTGAAGCTTGTATGGTCTAGTATGCGGATCCATCTGAATTCCGTTTGCTATGCAAAATTCCTCACTTACACAATCAGTACTCGACCCACCGTCGATTACCAAATCAACTTCATTGGACCACCCAACCGAACACTTAGTACGGAAGATACAAGTCCGTTGATCTCCATCTTCAGCTCCAAACACCAACCCCGATCCTCAATTGGACCATTCCAACCACAAGAAGTATCATGCTCTCTTTCCACTTCTAAGGCAGCATAGTATGCCTCATAGAGCCTTGATTGTCTCCTTATCTTTGGATGTTGTTTGAAACACTTGTCCAAGCCATAGTGGAAACGGTCTGTCAACATGTAGTCGTTCTCATCCACTTCGAACTCGAAACAATCCTCTAATTCCTCAAAGTAAGATTGAATGGATCTACCATTCGCTTACAATTGAGCAACTTCACTTTTGCTTCATCAAAGGTGTTAGTACCAGCATATCTTTCTCGCAAAGCACTTCTCAAATCATTCCAATCATCCAAGTTACGAAACCAATAATGCGAATAGATATTTGAAACTAGCTTCCACCAATTCAAAGCATTAGAACGAAAACAACCTATAGCTAAGGCTATTTTCTCACTCTCTTTCTCTATGTTAAGCAACACAAACAAATTCTCTATGCTCTTTTCCCAAGTATCATATTCTCTATGACAACCATAAAACAAAGGCAATGACACTTGCAACATTCCAGCATACGAGGGTACTTGTTTAACTTCAAAACGATCACATAAGACTCTTAAATTTCCAGCAATTTTCTCAAAACTTACCATAGCTTTATCTTGCTGATTTGAAAGCATTTGAGACAAGTCTCGGTTTGCCTCCTTAACCTCGGCCAAAGCTTCATGTAGGAAGTCAATTTGACTCTTCATGAGCTGTACTTGAGCCTCCATGTGACCCTCTACACTCTTTGAAGTGATTTGAGTACAACCAGCAACTCCGGATGACATCTTTGCTCAACAATCTTGAGAATCCACCAACAAAAGAAGTAATGTGCCTTATTTACTACACAAAAACTCCTTGAACCCTAGAACCAATTTATGGTTCGGCCAAAACCCCCCCAAGAACCAAAGGAAGGTTCAAATAAAGCTCTCCCCAAAAACAAAACTCTCTTGTGCTTTTAAGAACACAACTCTCAAAAATTTCAGAATTAAAGAAAAGAGTGCTTCTCTTGCTTTTCTCTTTTTGATCTCGGCAGCAAGAAAGAAGAAGAAAAATTGGAGTAGAGTGTGTGAGAATTTTCGAAAAACAGCACTCCTAGTTATAGGTAATGCAAGTCTTTTTGTGCAAGAAAACTCCTACAAGATAGGACCTAAATTTTCTCAAAAATATTCCCCCCCTAATTGATGAAGGTTTGCTCGACAATGTGGAATAAAGAAGAAGAAAAAACCGGCCTCATATATATAGACAAGGATAGAGTCCTAAAACTTAGGTAAACATAATCCTTTTTGGACACAAATTAAGAAAACTCATCCCTACTTATTAGAGATAAAATTTTCGACCCCCCTACTACTAAAAGGACTCAAATACTCGGCCACACACATGCACAAATGTATTAGAAGACTAAAATATTTTTAGATTAGGATAAGACTTCCTTATCTTAATAGTTTTCGAAAATAGACTCACTTTAAAACTCTAATTATAATCTCATTGAAATTATAATTTAACACATGCAAAAATTTGTATTTAAATCCAAGTAGGACTTAAATAAAACACACAATAAAATTGTATTACAATTAGGAAACAATGGCTGCAATTTTCGGCCAATGTGAACACAAAAATCCAAAACCGACTAGGACTCAAATCATAACACAATTTGGACTCAATGACCTTAATTTTAGAGCTAAAATTTTCGGCCATGTGAACACACAAATACAAGACCAAATAGGTCTCCAAGTGTAACACAAATAGAAAACCAAAATTCAAGTTCAACTAGAATTAGGAAAACCTAATTTTTAGCTTCACAATTTCAGCTATACTATGACTCTAAAATTCAAAACCAACTAGGCTTAGAATGATACATAAATCACACGCACACACATGCAAAAAGTCAGCAAAATTTCGGTCATTAACCTTTTACCACATAGTTAAAATTTGAAAAATTACTTTTGACTCACTTAAAAAGGAAACTTGAAAATTACCACTTTCCAAAAATGGACAACAACTTTTAGAATCTTTCTAAAACCCTTTTCCAAATTGTACTTGGAATTAACAAAAATCACTTTTACCAAAACAATCCATGGCAAATAAAGTAACAAGAACACCATAATTATAATTCAATTATGACATTTGCTTCATAATACTAAATTCAACACAAATCATTCTGAAAACTCAATGACTTAACAATGCCATCTTCATAAGTGACCATTGAAAATCAATCTTTCAACAACCAAATATGTAAACTTTGAGAATACATCTCAAAACCTATAAGATTTCTTGTCAAACATTAAGAAAATCTTTTTAGAAAATCTTCACTTAATTTTCGACCCTACTCTCGAAAATCAAGGTTTTAGAACACAAGTCAAAGACTTCAATCCTTAAAGTTGGCACAATTCAACTTCAAAGACCTTAACACACTTTGATACCAAAACTGATATCACTAAAATTCATTCTTCATCACTTGACAAAGAAAGTTTTGACTCAAATTCAAAGTGTAAAACTCGAGAAACAAGAAAACCAACACTTGTTAATTTTGAAAAATCTTTTGACACTAAGATTAAACAAAATTCGGTCTCTATGAAATTTTCATGAGTTGAAAATCCATAAATTCCATTTTACTCATTAGATTCAAATGAAACCAACAAGAAGGAAGGCTTTTCATTTATACCTTATGTAGAAAGTACGAAATCCTTAAGCTTCACCTTTAAAGAATAGATCCAAGATATTTACCACAAGATAAACTCTCAAATCTTCCTTATGTAAAGACATCTCTTTTAGAAAGAAAAGGCTATCTCGAGCAAGAAGCTCTTCTTTGGCATCAATTCTCTCCTTAAAGATCCAAAACATAAGATCCACTAACTTGCTCATAGGAGAAACAGTTCTCTACTTGCAAATCAAGGATAAATTTCAAGATGTAGCGCCCACTTTGATTAGATACTAACGTACCATCATCAAGCTCTCGCATAGACCTTAAAATAACACCACAAGATCAAACAAATGTGTAAGAAGTCTCGCACAACCACACAAAAGACAAGATCAATTTTGAAAACGTAGTTTTCACAAGAATTTGATTTATTTATTCAACACCCCATTCCAAAACAAGAAGGAACCTTGAAACAAATAAAGATAGTACTACTCGTTAAGTAGCACAAAGCTCGATCACCACACCAAGTAACGGATTCCGTGGTAATTCAAGATATTCTCAAAACCAAGAACTATAAAGTTCCCAACTAAGAAGAAATCTCTCGAAAATCAAACTGATAATAGGAATTGATATGACAATATCAATTAATACCATCACTAAGATAATCCAAGCTCTGATACCAAGAAACTGATAGCAATCTCGTAGACGAAGCAAATTTCGTTAATGCAACCATCAACAAGAAGGTACGAAGATAATTTTGTCTATCCCGTGAAACTCAAAAGAGTGCGGAAAATTCACAGTAAGACGATCGTTTATCTAAGTGATTCTATCTCTTAACTCAAACCAAGCAAAGAACACATTAACCATGAAAGATTCGAATTAAACAACAACCCACGCTAAGAATAGCAAGGACACCATTCAATATACTCGATCAGTCATAATCAAGAGACTCAAGAAAGGTAGGAGCAAACAATGCCCAACTATGAAGGAATACTATTAATTAGTAATCTTCATAACCAACCAAAGATATGCAACACATACACTATCTCAAAATGCTTATGCCAAAGCACAACTCATCCCAACAAAAGTAGGATAAACCCCACAATGGATCTCATGAACACACTCATCATGAAATTCGAACACCAAGCCAAAGGAAAGGCTCATCAATCGAACTTCTAGAAGTAGTATGAAAATAAGAAGTTTAGTTTTAAAACAATTCTATCAAGAAGCATACTTGAAAAGAATGGTTTCGCAAGATCAACAAGATCCAAGACAAGATGAAAACCCTCTTGGTTTAAACATACTTGACACGAAAAATGGACACTCCATTTAACAAAAATTCCTCACAGGAAAAACTCTCAAAAGAGACAACAAAAATGACCACTCAAGGGTGCTTCTAAAATTCGGCCAAGCCTCCTTTATATAGGCTTGAATTTTTCGGCCAGCACCTCTACAAAGAAGACCAATTAGGACTCTCTAATCTTATCCCACAAGGAATAAAAGTAGAAGAGTACTTGATCTCTTTGACTCTATCTAAAATCTAGGAAACCTTATCTAAATCACTTATCCTCAAGTAGGATAATATCTAGAAGGAATCTAAGACTCCTAATCAAAACACTCTAGCTTAATTCAGTCCACATGACTTATTTAACTAGATAAAATTCGAAAAAAATTGACTCTTAGACTTAGACTAACTCTAATCTCGAAATTCAGCTCTAAATTATTGAAGTAAAATGTCTTGAACGCCCTTCCAAAAGTGGAATATTGGTCTTGCGCCCCTTAAGTTGTAGAAACCCCCAATTTACTCCAAAACTTGTAGAATTCACCTTATTGACTCCAAAAGAATGGAAAAACACTTGAAACAATTAAGATAGTTTGCACCCTATCCAATTGTGTAGCAATGGACTCAATCTTGAACACTTGGATCAAATAGGCCGTCCACTCATGAACCTAAATGACTCTTCTCACTAGCTTTGATCAATGATCTTCATGGAGCACACAGAGTCAAACTCTCTTGATACTCTTCAGCACTTATTTCCATGAGGTCTTCATCTCCTTTGGTTTGCACCCCAAAGTTAATGACATTCTCATCACCTTGATCATAGCTCTCTTGAACCAACTCCCTATCACATAGGTAGTCAAGATCCATCCTTTCTTCCTTGATTGGCCTGCAAAGTAAACTTGGCATTCCAAATCTAGAATGAAGGACTAACTCATTCCCCTCACTAGGAGAACCTTCATGGAAGGCTACATGATTCTCATCATAACCCAATTAAAACAGAGTCAATTTCAATCTTTTTTGATACGTCACTAAAAATGATTATTTTAATTTTTCCAAACTTCATTGTGCATATGCATATGAATCTTATGACATAAGAGTGCCAGTTAAACTTAAGCAAAAGTAATTCCGAATCGTCTCAAATTTTGCGACGACAACCAATTAAAGCATTGGACAATCGCTCTCGCAGACAATATTGTCGGACCCGGACCGGAAACGAATCAATGAAGTTAAAGGGTCACTGGGGCACTCGGTTAATCCGTTAGCCCGAGACAAAAAACCAGATTAGAGCAGTATTCATATATAATTTTAAACTTTAAAATATATAAAATATGTGAAATTTAAAGTTATTAGTATTAAATTATTAATTTTTTGGTAAAATTTTAAATAAATTTAATTTTAAAAGTAAGATAAGACAAAAAAAAAAATTTTAAGTTCCTGGTTTCTTCGACGAGAGTGCAATTTTGGCACCAACCAATGACGAAGTTGATGCAATCAATGAGCATATACTGGCACAACTTAGTGGGGAACCAAAGATATATTACAGTTCTGATTGTATAGAAGAGACACCAAAGTCAATAAATCCTGAGGAGGATGAAGTTTACACAAAACAATTTCTCAATGCCATCAAGTGTTCAGGAATGCCAAATCACAAGATATCACTTAAGGTCGAGTCCGATCATGCTTCTTCAGAATCTTGATCAGCCAGGCAGCTTGAGTAATGGTACCAGGTTATAGGTCAACAATTTGGGGAAATGAGTTATTCAGGCTACTATTATATCATGAACTAATATCGGTCGCAAATGTGTCATTCCGCATATGGATATTAGTCCGATTGACGAGAGGATGCCAGTGAAATTAAGACAGAG